GGGCTGCAGCCTCCTGAGGGGCGAACGGCCTCGTTTAGTGGGTGCCGGGATGCCCCGGGGTTCGGGTTAGGGAAAAACGGCTGCAGCGGCCAAAGCCGGGCCGAAGTAAAAGTCTCCCGCTCGAATAGTGCTCCAGCTCGAGAGCAACTGTCCCCAAAAGCGGGGCATGGAGGAGAGCTGAAGTCAAAAGGGCAAAAAATCCCTTGGGAATCCCGCTGCCAGCGAGGGAAGGAAAACCCCAACGTGCTCCCGGACTATTTACACAGCACAGCCCCGAGGCTGCTGGAGGGAAGTGGAGAGCTGGGAGCTTTAGCGCAGCGTCCTGCTCGCAAAGAGGTGCCAAGTGACACGCTGGGCCACCAGCACGCGAGCGCATCACGTCATCCTGCAGCCCCCAAAATAGCCGGGCGCGCGGGATGGAGTGACTGTGGCCGCCTGGCGCTGCAGAGGATGAGCGCGTTCCGAGCGGCTGCTCCGTCCTGCTCCTCCCGAAGGGAACCCATGGGATGGTGGGATGTAGGGATGTGCAGAGAGAAATAACCCCGGGGAAGGGGATGATTGATCCATGTGGCAAACAAAACTGCGGTCTCTGGATCCCTGTAGCTACAAGTGTTCAGAGTAAATGGTCAGAGGTACACGGCTGGTGTGGAGAATGGGATGCGCGGGGGCCCATGGATTGGGTTGTGGCAATAACCTGTAATCTTCCTCCAACACCACTTTATGGAAGAGGGAGCGCGGCTGAGCTGCGTGGCCCCGCAAGCCTTGGCTGGCGCGGAGAGGATGGTGAGGGCTGACGAGGAAGCAGCGAGCACCTGGCAGCTCTGGGGGGAAGGCGATGCCTGGCGGCCCTGAGCTGAACCTTGCAGCCGGATCGCATTTCTCTCGGGTCGGTTGCTGCGCGCTATTAAGAAATCCAATTTTCCAGTGTGCACCAAACACCCAAATGCTAAATAATCCGCAGGGAAATCCCTCGCCCTTGTGGCTCGGTGGTGCGGGGAGCCACAAGGCTCCGTGTGTGCAGTGCGCTGGAGCGGGAGGGCAACCCAGCGCGCACCTCGCGAGCACCTCTTTCTAATTTCTTTTTGTTTTTGTTGCAACTGCAGAAGGGGAAGCAGCCGTGCGACGCTGAGCTCAGCAAGCCTCATCTGCTCCTCCGGACACGTGATGGCCAGGCCAGATGGCCCCGCGGAGAGCGGGGCGGCGAGCTCGGCGTGCTCGGGCTCGCCTCTGCTCGCTGTGCGGGGCAGGCAGTGCGAAGGGAAAACGGGTGTTTGCTCATGGCTCTGGGGCTGGGGCCGGCACTGGGGTTGGCTCCGCGCTGCTTCCGGCCCCAGTGCAGCCACTTGCTCCGCAAATGGATAGATCCTGTGTCCGAGATGGGAAGAGGCTGGATCGGGTTTTGCAGCCTCCCCAGTGCCAGGGTTTGTGCCTGGGCTCCGGAACCCTCTGGCAACGGTGAGCAGCAAAATGACAGTGCTGCTCACTGAGATGTTTTCAGCAAAAAATATCTGTTGTTGCAGATGCCCTGAGTACAAGGAGTGCCGGGCCCCGTTATCTCTGTTTTGGTTATTGCAAGACTCAATTAACCACAGAAGCCATCAGGAGAGAAAAATTCCTTTTTTTTTTTCTTCTTCTTTTTTCCCCCTGCCATGCTCGGGTTAATGACACAAAAGCGGTTGCGTTTCAGACGCAGGTGGGATTTCAGCACCTGCCTCTTGCTGCCATCAAAACCTTCCTGCTGCAGCCGTCGGTGGCACCCCGTGCCCTGGAGCACCAGACCTTGTCATTCCTGGGCTAAATCCTGGCGGAGCAGGAGGGTGGTTGCGCTCTGGGATGAGTCGGTTTGGGTATATATGTATGTTTGCATTTGTATGTGTACACCTACCTATACACATACATATGTCTCTGGGACTGGGCTGGTTTGCACCACATAGGAACCTGGCCCTCTCCGTTACCCTGGACTAAAAGGGAATGTGCAGATGTGTGTGTCTATAGGAAACACTCCAGCTAAAAATTCCAGTTAAAATGTAAATATATAAAAATATGTAAGTACATGTATATGTATGTACGTGCTTTCTGGAGGGGCTTTTTGCCCTTGTGTCTCTGCTATGCTGTCTCTGGGCACGTGGCTTGCAAGGAGCCTGGAGGGATGAGCTGCTCTTGAGGGTCAAGTGCCCGAGCAGGGATTGATGCTCTACCCTTGGGGCCTGCGGAGCCTCCTGCTTGTCCCCTTCCCATCTTGTTCCCTTGGGGAAGGATGTGAGGGCAGAGGCAGGACTGGGGCATGTTGTATTTTTGCACATTATGCCACTGCACAGGGTGTTTTTGCACATGCAGCACGAGAGCTGGAGCTGCCTCCTGCCCCCGAATCCTGTCCTTGCGGCACCAGCTGCCCGGGACACCCACGGAGCAGCACCGGGACCTGCTGCAGGAGCCCACACTTGGCCTCGAGGGGCATCTCGGTGCCCTCCTCCCACTCTGGAGCACACAACCCTGGGTCTCTGCTCCCATTCCGGAGCCCCAGGGGTTCCAGATCCAAGGGGTGCCATTTCGGAGCCGGGCAAGGAGGGGGAGCCGCGAGTGGGGGAGGCGTTGCAGCAAGCCTGGCAGCAGGCGCTTGGCATTTTGCTTTTGGTTATTTTTCTTCTTTGATTATTTTTCTTTCTGGCCCCTCTGCAGCTCCCAGGGCTTCCTCTTGCGGCCCCAGCTCAGCCTCCTCAGGCTTTTGGGGGCATCTCTGTCCCCCGTAGCTGCGCTCCCTGCCCTGGCCCTGCACGTGACCTTGGCCTGGCTGCCTCTGCACTGGGGGCTGCCGCGGGGCCCCCGTCGCAGCACGGCCCCTGTTGCAGCAGCTCCTGCCCTGCTGAAGGAGGTGACCTCATTGCACTGCCCCCCCATTGCAGCAGGACACCCCAGTTGCCGGACCCCCCCATGGCAGCAGCCCCGCACTTTGCAGCAGGGCTCCCTGTTGCTGCAGGCCCCCCCACTGCATCAAGGTCCCCGTGATGCATTACGGCCTCCTGTTGCAGCAGGTGTCCTCTTTGACACAGACCCCCCGATTGCATCAGGGCCCCCAGAACCCGCCTGCCGTCACCATCCTTTCATAGCGCCCCCTCCACCCGCACCCCCCT